GCAAAGGGTAACCTCAGACTCACTCAAGGAGGAAGAGCTGAGCTGGGGGGTGACTGTCTCAAACACAGGAAGGGCCGATAAATGCTACAGGCCTCAGAGCAAGCAGGGCTCCCTGTGACGACAACTCATCAGCCCTGGGTCCCACCGTCCCGTCAGGTCACCTCCAGTGATCCTGCTCCCCGGGGAAGTGCTATGAGCTTGGTCTGCCTGAGTGGACAAGGGCAGAGCTCTGTATGGAAAATGCCTATCAGTCAAAGTTGAAATCAAGGGCAACGTCAAAAATGGAATTTTGATCACTGAACAGCATTCATTCAACCAGTATTTACTGTAGGCCCATGATGCACCAAGCAGCGGGATGTCAGGGTGCACGTCACTTGCCCGCCTTCCCAGCACTCAGAGCAGGAGAACAACAGGGCTCACTGGATAATCACACAGGCATGTTGGATAAAACACGAGCACAGTTCCACACAAACGTGAGGGAGCCATGGGGAAGCAGGAATGGGCACTGCTGGTGCCCAGAAAGGCAGCCAGTGCTTTTCTGACTGAAGGACAGTTAAACAGAGATCCAAATGGTTAGTGGGAGTTGGAAAGGTGAGGGGAGGTCATCATTCAGAAAAGGACTAGAGCCCCAAGAGCAAGGAAGGCCCAGTAGGGTTGGCAAGACCAGACAAACAGACCAGTGCCATTCCCAGAGGTTCTGCAACCCCCACCCCCACCACCATTACCAGAACAGCTCAGGAGCCATATGTGTTCTCAGCTCCTGGGGACAGTCACATGAGCTTGTGTGCTGAAGAACTGGAGTGGCAGGGACAGGTGCCAACTCTTTCAAGGCCTAGAGCACAATTCACAACCCAACTGTGATCCCTGCCTGCAGCTGAAAAACTGCAAAGCCAGAGCACTTCTGAAAGTGGGTGTTTACTCAATTTTCCAAATTCATAAAAGAAGAAACATATATTCCATATCTGATGAAAACATATTTTCTTATAATTTACAAATAGTTTACGGGACTTGGCTGAGATTTTGGCCTGAGATTTTCATGGGTTCAGCTTCCTGGATTGTCATCTAAAAATCCAGATGCTCTGGTTAGCCTAATGCCAAACCAACCCAGAGGTCAGACAGAGAGGGATGAGAGGACTGGTTTTAACCACTGCCTAGAGGCCCTGCAGGCAAGGGCAGTGGGGGCCCCAAAGGCCTTCTCAGCACTAACCGTGGACACCATCGCTACACAAGAAGGTGGCACTTTCAGAGTCTGTGAGGTCCCCGATGGGCCAGGAACCTTCTCTCTTCTGGGGCCCCATCTCCATGAGCAGAAACAAGGCTAACCCCAAAGCCACCCCTCCATGTCTGCCCTATCTTCCCTGGCAAAGGGGGCCCCTAGATCGTGAAATTAAAAGATGCCTTTCTGAGCCCCATCTTCCATGGTGGGCTTCCTGCCGGCATGGCCAAGGGAACGATCCTTTCCTCCCTCTCTTGCCTGTTCCTAAATCCCAGCCAAGGTAGGGTCTCCAGACAGGCACCATTAAGACAAAGTAGTCGGGAGGAGCCCCCTGATGCCCACTCACCTCCCATACCTTCCCCGAGTTCTGCTACAGCTGAGAGCGGCCCAGGTCTACAGAGATGAGCTGCCTCTAACTCACTGTGCGACCTTGGGTAAACACCACTCCTCTCTGGGCATCAGCTTCCTCAACTGTAAAAAAGACAGGATTGAACCATATGGTCCTGCAAAAGAGAAAGCCAACCTTAGACAAATGAACAGGTAAGGGGAGGTGGCAGAGCCTGGCAAAGAATTAGGGAGGCAGAGGGCACCACCAACAGGCGTCCTGGGGAGGCCTGGGAAGCTGGGGAGGCAGGAGCCCAATAGCATAGTCTCTGCTGTCATTTGACACTGTATATGAAAACTGCAAATGAATATACCCCTCCCCACAAAGTACCTATTGATTACAGAGGGGAAGGAAGTGATTCACCCACGGAGAAGGATGGAAGACAGTGTCTTCGTCCAGAAACCAGCACTAGCAGTGATGAGGCCAGTGGAATCCGTGAGCCCTGACAGCAGGTAGGAAGGGAACCTGCCTCCCTTCTGGGGAATTCCTGCTGGAGATACAGAACCCTGGAAATAGCAGACAAAGCCAAATCCAGGGGCGTTCCACAGAATCAGTGCCTGTAATACTTAAATAGCACAAAACTGTGAAAGTCAAAGACCAAGGAATTGACCCTCTTTGAAGGAGACATTATCTATTGGCAGTAAGGAATACTAGTGAGAAAACTGGCAAAATTCGAAAGGGTTCTGATGATTAGAGAATAGCAGTTTATCATTCACCAAATTTTGATGCTTCAATTGCAATTTCATTTTGTTTTACTTTGTGTTGTTTTGTTTTTTCTGGACAGAATCTCATTCTGTTGCCCAAGCTAGAGTGCTGTAGTGTCATAGCTCATAGCAACCTCAGACTCTTGGATTCAGGCGATCCTCCTGCCTCAGCCTCCCAAGTAGCTGGGACTACAGGCACCAACCTCAAAGCCTGGCTAATTTTTCTATTTTTAGTAGAGACGGACTCTCATTCTTGCTCAGGCAGGTCTCATATTCCTGAGCTCAAGGGATCCTCCCTCCTCAGCCTACCAGAGTGCTGGGATGACAGGTATGAGCCATTGCACCCAGCCTCAATTGCAGTTTTATAGAGGGTTGTTCTTGTTTGCATAAAATATACACCAAAGCATCATGTCCGCAATTGAATTACAAATGGCTGGGGGGAGAGGAGTTTTGTATCATACCTCCAACTTTCTGTAACTTTAAAATAGTTTCAACTTTATTTATGTATGTATTTATTTGTTTATAGGAGACAGGGATCTCATTTGTCACCCAGGGTGGAGCACAGTAGCACAATCATGGCTCACTGCAGCTTCTAACTCTTAGGCTCAGCCTCCTGTTTCAGCCTCCCAAGCAGCTAAGACTATAGGCACGTGCCACCATAACCTAGCTAATGTTTTTTTTTTTCCATTTTTGTAGAGATGGTTTCAAACAAGCCTCCCTCCTCAGCCTCCCCTGTTACTGGAATTTAAATGTTTTTAATTTTAGAATTTTCTCTTAAAAACTGCGTACATACTTTGATTCGGGAATTCTAATTTTCAAATTTCATTCTACAGATATATTGGCATAAGTATGTACATACCATGATATATATGTCTATACAATGATATTTATATACCATCATAAATATATATGTATTGATGACATTAAGAATTACCTACTGATATATTTATGGCAGAATCACTTACATCACAAATAATCTAAAAGTAACCTTCCATCAATAAAAGACTGGTAATTCATGGAAAGGATACTCTGCAGCGATTAAAAATTTGAAGATCCTATTACAATTCCCCATAATAGAGAGGAGAATTTAGCCCAGAACAATACAGCGAGTGGATCGTCCACCAGGCTGGAGTTCCAGCACTTGGAGTGGTTTGTGCCCACATGCTTATCCACACACACCAACTCAGAGAGCACGCACAGGACCCACTAAAAATGACTGGTTTTAGGGGTGGGATTGGGAATAGAAATAAAGAGATTATTTTCTTGTAGTCCTTATGTTCTCATCACATATGACCATGTATCATCTTCATACATGTTTTTAAATCACTAGTTCAAAGAAATACACTAAAGAATAAAAAAATTAACTTCTGCTCATAAGTAACTTACAGTCTGGACATCAACTTTGGAGGGATTTATTCATTTTGCAAACAATGGGAAGGCATGTAGTAGAGAAATGGAAACCACAAAGCCAGACCACAGGGGCGTGAAATCCTGCCTTGCACACTGACTGAGGTGGCTGGTGGTAGCCCCTACCTGACCTAGCCCAGGGGCCTCAAGCACCCTCACTCACCAGAGGGCTCTCCTGAGCTCCTGAGAAGCCTTCCTGGCTTTTGAAATCTCTTTACAAATTATCTAACGTGCTATCCCAGTGGTCCTGCAAGGCTGAGCTTTCTCTTCTGTTCCATGCTGACAGTAACATCTGTTTACCTGACAGTTTTATTTATTTCTTCGTATTCCTATTCCCATTTTGCAGATAGGGAAACTGAGCTGCTAAAGTATTTCCTGGAGAACGGACATTTTGTTTGAGCACTTTTAAACGATGAGGGGAAGGGGTGCTCTGATTCTCCCAACCCTGGAGGAAAGCGGGAATTTGATGATTCCCTTAACATCGTGGGGATTCGGGAGGACAAGCAGGACTGGTGGGTGCAGATGGCGGCCCTGCTTGGGACCTGCTGGGGTTGAAGCTCCTCTGAGCACCCAGAGGCTGACCCTGGGGTCCGGAGAGGGTGTGGCACAGCGCGGAGCCCAGCAGAAGCTCCTCCAGCCCGGAGTCTCTGTTCTCACACCGCCCTCCCGTCTGCCCAGGGATCTCGACTTTCCCTGGTAGCAAAGCCTCCGCCCTGCCCCCCGGAGGCTGCTGTGGGGCCTTCCCGGTCCTGATGCCTGGCAGAGCCGAACCCAAGCGGTGAGGGGCACGTGGTCTAAAGCAGGAAACCCTGGACTCAAGTCCCACTCACCTAGTTGGCATTTCCACTTATTAGGTGGTGGCTTTGAGGAAGGCGCTTTTCTGAGCCTCAGTTTCTCCACCCATAAAGCCAGAGTAAACGGCGCTCTCCCTGCCGAGTTCGGAGGGGAATCCCACCCGACCCTGTGCAAACCTGTGTGCCCAACTTTCCCTCCGTGCTGCCGCCGCCTTTCTCCCAAAACTCACTTGCAGGCAAGGAGCAAGGGGGCGCCCCAGGGCGTCCTCTCCGCTCTCCGCCCGGCCCTGTGCCCCCGGCCCCCTGCTTTCCCGGAGCTGGGCGGGGCACAGCCCTCGTGACGCTGGCGGGCGGCACAAGGACCTGGCCAGCTGCCCGCCTGGCCGCCACAGGTCCGGAGCGCGCCAGACGCGCTGCGCCCTGCGTCCTGCTTGGCCGGGATCGCCCTGCCTGGCCCCAGCGAGCCCTGACCCGACGCCCTGCTTTGTCGCCCTCCTTTCCCTGGCTGGACTGGAGAGAAAAGCGCTGGGGCTGAGCCAGGGGCTGAGCATCCACAGGAGAAAGTCAGGTGAGTGCACTGAGAAGGGGCTGCTGGGGTGGGCGCCCAGGACAGGGGCCCCGGCTCGGGGACGGTCCGCAGTGTCCCACGCAGCCTTGTGGTGTGAAAATAGCCCTAAACGCCTGCTGCCTGCCAGGCCTTAGTCCAGGCTGGGATGGAGAGCGCCCCAGACATTGAACCCCAAGCTCCATGTTTCACCTGGATACCTTGATCACTGGGTCTGGATTCTGCCTCCCGCCACCCCAGCCCATTTAGAGCAAAAGAGCTGGTTTTAGTCAGAGGCCCGCTGAGAGTCTGCCGCGCAGAGGGGGCTAAGGGTGTAGACCTCCACGGAGACTGGGGCTGGACGCCCAGGGCCCTCTCTGGGGAAAGACGTCCTCCTGAGCTGCAGCGCCTCTTGAGGAGGGATGAGAGGGCCCGGGATTGGGCAGTCTTGGCATGGGAGAAAGTGAAGTGTCCTGGCTTTCTCTAAGCCCCAGGTTTGTTGGAATCGTCAGTTTTGCTGCAGCCTCCCTGTGGCTACTCACCTTACTGCAGAGATGTGGGGACCTGGGCAGCCATGGGCTTCCTGCCCACAGCCCCCACCCCTGCAGGGCTGAATCTCACTTGCAAATCTCCAAAGGTTCAACAGGCTCAGACTCTGTTTCCCACTGACCTCAGCTAAATACTGAAACCCCGGTCACTTTCACATGAAACGGGTGGGCGCCTTTACCTGTCCCCCCTTTTCTTATTCAGTGAAGTTTTCACACATTTCTTCCGAGGGCTGGATAGCCGGGGGAGCATAAGGCTCCAGGCGACTTTTGTACCAGGTGCCAAGGCTGCCACTGCCAGCAGCGGTGGCCTCTCAGAATGGCCAAGGCTTGCAGGTGCCACGTTGGCACCTGGGTTCAGTGGGTGCTGTTGGTCCTAAACCCAGTCCTCCACCTGACTGTGGGCCAGACAGGACTGGCCTTAGCCACAGCTTTCCTGGGAGGAAGTGGAATCCTCCCCACCTGAATCTTCAGAATGGGAGCCCCAGCCATAGAGCGCTGCTCTCTCAGATGTCACTCAGCCTCTGCATCCTGCCTGAACACTGGCACTGACAGCAGGTGCCTCACAGGATTGACCAGGGACACCCTTAAAGGGACTGGGGCAGGGCCAGGCACACAGATGAGGCATCAGCATTAATCACTCAGAAAAACTAAAGCAAGCTGAGTTTGTGCCTGGCGAGTCTGGGGGTGGTGAAAGGGCTCCAGAGCCTTGTAGGCGACCAGGAAAGGTGGCCGTAGTGCCCTTTAATGACAGCATGGTAAAAGCTCAAGTGCGCCCCAGTATGGGATCAGGGCAGCCTTCCAGGGATGACCATCAGTTCATCTCAGGAGCAACTTTTCCCCACTATGCCCGCCCCTGGGGCATAGGGGAGGAAGGGCACCTGTCCTGGGCAGCAGTGTTTGTTGAGCCTGGACCAGGGCAGGCACCCAGCCCCTGCCTCTTGGCCCTATCCTCATTCTGCACCTTCAACCCCACCCACCCCACTCACCCCCACCACCCACCCCCCCACCCTTGCTGTAGACTAGAGCTGAGGCTTAGATGCAAATGCAAATCCCGTGTCCCCATGCAAATGAGGTTTATCCACAACTCCCCAGAGAGCTGGGAGAGCAGGGGAACACCTGCACAGTGCCTCTGCTGCTGCCAGTCCAGAGCTTGGTGGTGGTACCACAGGTGTGCCTGGTGCACCCACAGGGAAGGGAGTGGCCCTTCCAGGTCGGAATGAGCTCACTTAGCCCCTAATGAGGGCTGGAGGGCCCTGCCCATGGAATAACCACATGAGCAGACTCAGATGGCAAATAGACAGAGGGGTAAAGCTGAGGGCAGCACCACAGGCGCCTCTGCCCACCCCTTTATCGGCAAGAACACCAGCACGGGACAGCCTGGGCTGAGTCAGAGCTCCTGCCACTGCACTCAGGAGGAACTGTGACTTGCTTTCCTGTTTCTGTTTGCCCAGGAGTGTGGCCAGCCACAGTCACAATTGTCCCAAGGTTTCTGAGAGCAGCTGGCCCAAGAGGTAGTTAAGCCAAATCTCCATCTAGGAGGAATCCTACCCAGGTTTCCCTTCTATTTGTCCAAAGTATGAATTCAAATCTTGTATGGGTAAAAACAACACACTGTTGAAATTCAGTTGTCTGAGGCTGGGATACCTGTCTCTGGAAATCAGCCCCACCCTCCCCCACCTGCTTCCTAATGTCCATGCCACCTCCTCCTCCATTATGTCCATTATACAATGGGGGGAGTCAGGTGGTCCCAAAGATTTAACATAGGATTGACTCTATACAGTGGAACAGGCACAGAGTGGGAGTGGACCTCACAGACTGTTCAGACCTCACAGTCCCTGAACTATGTACACAGAGATGACGTGAGGGGCAGAGGGAGCCTGCTGGCATCTGCTCTCCACGCAGGTGTGCCCTGGGTGGTGCTCCACCCCCGCCAGGCCAGGCAAGGCAGTCCTGCACCCTCCTTGGGTCCAGCAGAATCTGCCCCCACGTCCCCCTTGACTGCTGTTGGGGGGGGGGTCTCAGGAGCGAGCAGAGTAGCAGTGATGGGGGAGGAGCTGCCCTCCCACAGGCTATGGCTGCCTCTAGTCAAGGGGCTGTCCCCTTACCACACTCCTAGCGTCCCCGTTAATGTGTAATCTAGGACAAACTGGGGGATAAAATGTCCCCAAAATGCCAGTGACTTGCTTTGTCAAAAGTCAAACATGTTCTGCATTAGATTTTGGACCATTTTAGTTTTCAAAATGCTTTAAGCCCTGCATTTCATTAATTCACTAAATGAGGAAACTGAGTCACAGTAGAGCACATCCATGGCATGGGTCATCATCACCAAGCCCCTGACTGTCCCAGAAACACGGTCCCCTGGGGAAGCACTGACAGGGTAGCAGGGCACAGCCAGCAAAGGGGCCACCCTGGAAACCTTCCCCCCTGCACTTCCGGCTCACAAGGAAGTTGGACCAGAGCACTAGAGTAACATTTTTCACATGACTCTAACTTGTTCTTAATTTTTAGATGCACTCATCCTTTCCAAAACCTGTATTAAAGTATTCTAGGCACTATGAAACCAAGCACAGTGAACACATTTTCTTCAACTCAGGGTCACTATTGGAACCTTCAAGACTATGCTCAGTGTCCTGTGGGGACACGTGGAGGCACGCCTGCCTCCATGCTGGCTGCCCTGTGCGTCTCAGTGCTTCATCCCCAGCCTCTACCTAGGCAGGTGGCTCTGGCTTCCCAGCAGCAGCCTGTACCTCTCCCCAGCTCCCTTCTGGAGCACCACCCCCCCAGGTACCAGACCCCTCCTGTCCAGAAGGCCCGACCCCTCACTCTCAGGCTCCCTGCTTCCTTGTCTTTGCTATTTGGATGAGAAACCAAGTGACTGTCCTTATTAGAAACAAGCATCTCGAAGGGAAAGAAACAGGTTCAGAGGGGGCAGGGGAGAACGAGTGTCTAGACGGCCTCTGGGACCTTGGTTCTGACAAGCCATGACCTTTCCGTCTGTCCCCTTGCTGGTTACTGACTGGGGCTTTGGGGCTGTTCAGCTCACATGATAAGAAAAGCATCCTTTCTCCCGCAGCTTTGGGTTTCTTCCTCATACCTTGCAATTTAAGTCTCTTAAAGCAAGGCCTGGAATTTGGACCTCTTCTTTAGAAAAGAGGAAACAGTTACTCCTCAGCTGATGGTCACACTCTTCATCCATTCTGAAAATAGAATTTTAATGAATGCTCTCCTTATGATGCAGGGCTTTTTTCCAAAAATAATGAAAAATAAAAATGAATAAACTCTAGTCATCCATCAAATAAGAACTTTTTCTTCCAATTTTTTAGAAACCAGGAACTGTGTGCTGCACTAGAGCGTATCAAACAAGTTGTGTTGTCACGTTTTCTTGTCCTGAATCTAAATCCAGCCACCCACGTACAGAGGTCTCATGCTGCTGGAGCATCCGGGCAGCCTCTCGCTGTGCCACGAACAATCAGAATTGTGTTTGAGAGTAGAGATAGGGAGGGATTGGTGCAAAAAATTCATGACATTATTTTTCACCAATTTTACGCACAAGCCAGAGGATATTTTGGTTGACTTCCATGGGACCTATGTAGAAATTTTATTTTAAATGGTATCTGCCCAGAAAATGTCACCTTTCATAATTAAACTCTTGTGCAATAAAATCAAAGTACATTTCTAACACAGAGGAAGTTTTGTTTAACATTTTCACGACGAATGCTTCCAAATGGCCAGCGGCACTAACAGGGGAGGGGGAGTCCTTTTCAGAATTCAGAGGCAAAATTGAGTCTTTTCACCAGTTTTAAGACTTCCCACTAAAAGCAGACAGAATGGACCCTTTCTCTGATGTGCCTCAGAAAACAAGGTTTTCAACTTTCAGTTCCTTACAAGACTTTGAGTTACCCAGATCAAACCTTCCACAGAGCCTCAGGGCCCCACAGCAGAGCTGGTGTGGGTGGCAGCGGTGTCCTCAGGCTGAGGCCCTGGCCTTACATCTGCCTCAGGCTGCTGAGGTGGGGCACAGAAAAACTCCCCTCACAGAAGAAGGCACTGTTCTTATACAGTGTAACAGTAACTAAGGGACATCCCCAAGTGTCAGGAGGTAGAAAGAAGTGTGAAAGAAACGGGAGATGAGGGGTGAAGGAGTGAGGATCTTCTGCAGGGAGTGTGCACAGCTGAGCAGTGTCCCCAGCATGCTCATGTGGGGTAAGGCCCTCCCTGGTACAGTTGTGCCTCTGATTTTATACCCAGCAGTGATGTCCACACCCCATGAGCTTTGAGGCCATGTAGTATCACCATGCACATGTGGGGTAAGGCCCTCCCTGGTACAGTCGTGCCTCTGATTTTATACCCACCAATGATGTCCACACCCCGTGAGCTTTGAGGCTGTATAATATCATCACATGAGAAGGCAAGAAGAGGGTCTCATTCTCTGCTCAGCTGCCACCGTACATCACAGCCCCACCCCACACCCATCACCCACAGCCCCCTGTGATGTGCCCCTCACCCAAGTGGATGACCCTCCTGGACCTTTGCTACTCAAAGGAGTCTGAGGACAAGCAGCTCGTGCCAACCCTCACTTGCACGTGGGCTGCTGAGGGCAGGGGGGGTCTTGGTAAAATACAGATTCTGAATCAGTAGGGCTGGGGCAAGGCCTGAGGGTCTGCATTCCTACCAATGCAGGTGACGCTGCTGGTCCAAGGATCACACTTGGAATAGCAAGCAAGGTGCTAAGGTTCTGCTTAGCTGGGTTTTTAGTTTTTCTTTCCCCTGTTCTTTTGACATTGATTTGGGATCAGGTCTGGTGAACTTCAAAAAGAAGGCATAAGGGCCTCTGAAATTTAACCTCCTGGTCAGCAGGTTACCACCTAGGAACGCAGCATCACACAGCACCCTGAGTGGGGCTGCTGCTCTGCGGAGTCCCTGAACCTGCCCAGGGTCTCTGAGGGGGAGGCCTGGCCATCAGTCCTGTGAGACAACCCCCACCAGGCTGCCCCTGTGGCTGATTCCTCTCAAGTCAGTACAAATTGCCACCCCTGGCATCCTGCCCAGATGTGTATGAGTGTTCCCAGCACAAGCACACCACCCTCAGAGGCATTACGCTGGTGGGACCTCCCCCCAGAGCCACCCCACCACGTGGCAGACCTGGACAGCCCCCTAAGCTAGAGGACACCAACATTCCATATGATGGGGTCTCCCTGCTCCTCCTGCCTAGCAAGTCAGTCTTCAAGGCACCCCTCCCAGGAAAAGCCTGCACCCCCACTCTAGGGGGTCTTGGGGAATGCACAGGAGACCCTGAGCTGACCACGAACTTGCCATGATGTTCCTCCTTTCTGTGCTGGTCCCTCTCCCAGGAAAGCTAAGTTAAGATGTGGCGAGGATGAGGGATTCCTCCCTCACACACCTCTGGGGTCCCCTCACAAGCACAGCCCTGGTTCGGGGAGAGGAGCTGAGCCACTTGATGGGCCGTTATCACCATTCACCCCACAAGTGAAAGAGCTGGGAGTCCCATGGCCAAGTGTGTGTTCTGGGGCCGGGAAGCAGATCCCTTTGAAAGTGTGGAGACTTTGCACACAGATTCCTTTAATGTCATTCGTCTACACAGTATCTGTTAAATCACACAAGTGTCCAGGCAGGTGTTTGCCCGTTCAGAGGACCATCTCACCAGGTACAGACAAACGTCCTGAGCTATGGCGGCTTTTTGTTTTGCCTCTGACTTTGTGGCTTTTCGGTATCTGTGGCCTCCCAGGACTAACCACTTGATCCTGTGATGTTCCAGGTGTGACCCTGACAAGAGGCAGAAATGGGGAAAAAACTAGATCTTTCCAAGCTCACTGATGAAGAGGCCAAGCACGTCTGGGAAGTTGTTCAGCGCGACTTCGACCTTCGAAGGAAAGAAGAGGAAAGACTAGAGTGAGTGTGGTGGGGATGCGCCTGGAGCCCAGGGTCCTTGACATCCCCCGAGGGCCATCACTGGCGTGCTATTAGGGAGGGGGTGGCCAGCCAGCAGTGTGAGGTGAGAAGCCGGGATCCGGGACACAGTTCTCCTCTCCAGCCTTGGTTCCCTGGTCATTAGAATGAGGGGATCTCACTTTCCAAACAGAAAATTCCATTGTTCTCTGGGCAGTTTTATTTCAACTTTGTCCAGCTTCTGGGGTGGTATCTCTTAAGACAGTCAGGCTGCAATATTTGAAGAATACAGGAGAGCAAGAGGTGACAAGTGAGTGCATCCTGGAGCACGCAGATGTTGGAACAAGGGGCTTTAGGATAAAGGCTGCGTTTCCACAGATCTCCACATCAGCACTGGGTAGCGTCCCCCTCTCCACCATCTTGACCCCCGCACTGTTTTGTGCCCCTCTGCCCAGTGACAGAGCTACTGCCCGGCATTGTTCTCTGCCCCCCCTACCTGGCATCTCCCCTCCCTGATCCTCTGGCTGGTCTGTCCACTGGGCCCCGATGACCTTTCCTTGAGGTCTCTTGTGGATTGGGCTGGCCCCCGGAGATGGGGACATGGGAGCAAAGACTCTAGGTGAGGGAAGTAGCTATGGGGAAGCCTGACGGGACACTGCAGGAAGGAAAACACAGGCCCACATGGCTCAGGGGAAGAGCCATTCCTGGCCTTTCCCAGCTTCTGGAGGCTTTGCAAATTTCATGACTCATGCCCCCCACTCCATTCTCAAGGCCTTCAACATATCATCTTCAACACCCATCCATCTCTCTCTCTCTCTCTCTC